CGTGTTAGGAAGCTCTTTTGGTATGTTGTTTATAAGTGTATGAAGTAGATTGGAAGCGAGCAACATCTCAAATGGAGGCCCTTGAAAGATCAGGTGATGGTCTTACCCCTTATACAGAGTTTATGTTGTTGAACCTCTTCGATTCTGTCGTGTCTTCCTCTCATGTTTTTCGAAGTGTGACTCGGTTGAAAGTAATATATGTGAGACCTGGAATGGTAGTATTGTTAAGTTTAGGGGATTTACAATTGTAGACATGTTGGAGGGTATTAGGCAGTACATGATTAGGGATGGCAAAAATATCCGTAACCGTGGATATCCGCCCGAATCCGACCTAATCGGATAGGGTAAAACCCGAACCCGAAGGTCTTTAAGTGGGTACGGGTAAAACCCGAACCCGAATATGGCGGGTAATGGGTGGGCATGGATTTCTCACTATCCAACCCGAACCCGCCCGATTATACACATGCATATGTATTTTTTCTAGAAATAACCATTATTTTTGTCAAACATATTTTATATTTAGCATATAAATATAATATTTTCATGAAATTGTATTGTTTTAATTAATTTTCTTCATTCTACTGAATTATTGTCGTACTTTTTATCTTTCAGAGTGTGAGAATATGTGTGAATGTTAACATATTGGTTGGAGTTATGAAGAGAAATTATTATCCATGGATAACCGTGGATACCCGAAACCCGAACGGGTATGGGTATGGTTTTGATTTTCTACCCATTTCTTATGTGGGTATGGGTATGGGTATGGGTATGGGTAAAACCCGAACTACTTTGGGTAGGGTAACGGATATGCACTATCCGCCCTGACCCAACCCATTGCATACCAGCATGGGCTACCTTGCCTTGACGGTAGACAAGCATGGCCTGCAGCTGAAGGACACCCTGTGCACCCTCCCAAGAGTGGGTCAATGCCTGGCAGGCCGAAAAAGAAAAGAAGAAGGGTTGCTGATGAGATAGAGTAGACTAGGGCACAAAGAACCAGGATGGGTGAAGAAGTTACCAGGATAGGTAATCTGATCCACTGCTCCAAGTGTGGCGCAGAGGGTCACAATGCCAGATCTTGCAAAGCACCCCCTGCTGCCCCAGTTGTGGTGGTAAGATTTGACTCATTGCTTTTGATTATATTGATAATGTATCGTGTTTAACAAGTTTGTTACTTGGCAGTAGAGAAATACCCAAGCTAGAGGGACTCGAGTTTCAGGCCGGGAACCTAAAAACAATGAAAGCAGAAAGAAGGCAATCCGTTGTTCAAAATGTGAGAGTTCCACTCACAACGCAATGACTTGTCCTCTTAATAGAGGAACTGGTATACGGGTAAATGAATTTTATGTTTACAGAATGTGTGTGAATGAGGCATAATGGCTGAACTTCGTTTGTTATATGTAGGACGTGAGACTCAATGTGGGTGATAGAAGAACAATTGAAATGGAAATGTGTGTTGCAACATCTGGCGTTGGTGTGTATGTGAACGAGAGGACAGGGAACCAGTATGTTAGGGTTAGTACTCAAAATGTACTTGAATGTGAGAAGTTGAATTTAATGAATTTGCCTGAAATTGGGTATTAATATGTTTGTTTCTCATTCAGCTTAATGGAGCTCGTGGCAGGCCAGTTCGTGGACCTCAGCCAACTTAGGTGGGCTTGTAGGGAAGTCAGCCACCACACACGCATCCTTAGATATGATTCAGAAGCAGTTTTTGAGTCATCTCTTGTATAATGTAAACAATAGACACTTGTGTGCACGTTGCTATATAGTGACGATTACATGACTCATGAAGCAGTTTTTAGAAAGTAGGTTAGTTAGCAAGTATTGAAGTTCTGGTGGATATGAAAATTTTATGGACCCAAGCAATATGTTAACTATCATGGCAGGTGTATGTTGTACTTTGTAATGAACATCATTTTGATTTGCCCCCTTTTGCACAGGTGTATAATGTATAAATCAATATAGCAAGTATATGCTGCTTTCATGTGCATTTTTAAAGGGAATACCAAGACCACATGGTACACTAATAATCAAACAACATTACAGGGTAAATTGCAAGTTTGGTCACTGAGTTTACTAAAAAGGTTCAAGTTTAGTCACTGAAAATATTTAATTACATTCGTGGTCACTAAAATTAATTCAATGGTTCAAACTTGGTCACTCTCCATCCAATTATTTTGTAATTTCAATTCAAGGGATAAAATGTTTGGTAAAAAATAATTGAAATTACAAAATGATTGAAATTACAAAATTATTGTATTTTGGTGAAATTGAGTGTAGGGGAATCATAAAAATTACCTAAACATAAAAATATAGGAAAAGGCTTATGGTAAAATTAGTAAAAGATGAGAAACACAAAAACTACATATCAACTAATTACATGAGAATATGACTTTATGATAGAAGTAATGGTGTGAGATAGGTCATTTTACATGGCTAGCCGTCCTCTTGCGGGGATGAGAATAAACTTGGTAGGAAACTTAAAGGCTTGTAGTGGATTATAGTACACCTGCCCTCATTGTATAACTTCCGTTATGAACAGTGGCTAAAGAAAACTTAAAGGGCTTCACTGATTAGCAATTATGGTAAGCTTGGAGATTTTTTCGTAAGGAACAGTAGAATTAACTTATACTTTTAATTAATTTAATTTAATTGATTGATTGATGATTGATGTTGTCTACACAATATATTATGCATTTCACTCTATGTCATTGTTGCCACCTTGCAGTTTGATTGGTTCTCCTTATTTGGTGGAAGGGCAACTTTGACAATTTTTCAAACACTCTAGGGTCACTCATTATTATTGGACTTTTGGTTTTCTTTTTAGTAAATGCGATTAGGATTAAGGAAAAAGAAAATTTGTTTTAAGGTAAATGCTACATAATTATATTTGAATTTTGCTCTATGTAGATTTATTTTGTGTGGTTAAGGAAAAAACAAAGGCTATCTAAAGTTGTTTAACTCCTAAATGAGATAATGCTTGCGAATTGGATTTTGAGATGATAAAGATGATATATCGTTGTGGCGTGGATGTTTGGGAAGAGGTTCCTTCGGAATATGTTTTTTCGCATTAGGGTTTTAGGTTAAACAGATAAACCAAGCATCAACCTTCAAAAGTTTTAGAATCTTAATTTCACAGTGATTTCGGCAAACATGAAAAGGAAGAAAGACGGGAAATCTTGGCAAAATACAATCAATTTATATTGTTTTAAATTCTTTTAATTTTCTAATTAGCATGTCTAATTTTTACATTAAACAATAATTCGATCCATATCGTACCAACTCGATATTTGTGTCGAATTAGATCAAACAAAAAAAAATCAATTTTTTTACTCTATGTAATTTCTTAAAATCAATTTTTTATTAGAAAATTATTAAACGTAAAATATGGTCCAATGGAATAACTTAAATGCTTCTTCAACCTAACTACGTTGTTATTTACATCTGAATAGTTCCATTAACGATTAAAAAATAGTTGTATAATGATATACCATTAATCATGAGTCATTGAAATTTTTCATCCGAGAACCGCTCCGCTTTTGAAAATATAGGACATAGTCAATAAAATATTTAAAAATATGAGCATATTGTTAAAGGTTAAGTTTGAATTATGATAACTAAAGTTCAAATGATTGAATAACTTAAAAGGGCCATTTCAAGTCAAAATATTCTTTTTCTAATATTTTTCATTTTTGTCTCTTTCAAAAATATAAATTTAATACTTCTATACTAATATTTTTGGATTTGCTTTACATAATTGTCCAAATAATCTATTTCCATATCACATTTTTTTCTCCTCGAATTTTTGTATCTTTAAACTAATTAAATGTAATACATCTATAGTAATATTATGTACATTATTTACTTTTTAATTCAATAGATGACAATCAACTATATTTAAATTAAAATAGTAATAAAATTTTCAAAGCTTCATTTGCAAGGTAATTGTTCACATATAACGAAGATAAAAATATTTATTGATTTTTTTATTCAGTGATGTTTAATATCTCAAGGCATGAATATAGATTCAATATAGTTTTTCATTTCATTCGTTGTCTAACTTAAACTTCTTATAGTTAAGTATAAAATGAAATACAAATTCAATAAAATTATAAAGTTAATAGGCACTAGAAAACATAAACTATCAAAGTACTTTTTTGTACCACCAGTGCACAATACTAAAAATCGAACCACCTACGTTTAACTAAAAAAAATACCCAAATGACCACAAACCGGCCAACGGGCCGGATACATACAACACTAGTATTTTATACATGCTTGTTTCTGTTGTCGACGTTGGGTTAGTGCCATCTATGCACTTCGTCCAGACACACCAATCTCTTCAGCTTTTGCTTCATATGGGATGCAGTAGGCAGTGTAAGCATGAAACTATCTAATAAGAATGTCCGACTCCTTCAAGTTTCAGGCCACCTGCTCTAGCGGTGTCCATAATCTCATCCGTAATGTTTCATTTGGCAGGTACATAATAAAAGCTGGGGCAGTAACTGCTCTATGTGCAAGTCTCATGGGTTCACTTCTTCCACAGGTAACATATCAGTTCCCTTCTGCAAACTAATATGGAAGCCCTATGCAACTTCCAGTTTCAAACTCCGGTAAATATGATTTTGCCACTCATGAACAATTTGGACAAAAAGATTTGTGGTTGTCTTCCTATAATTGGTAACAAGTTAACAGGCATCATGTCCTTTCACCCCAGGATGTTCATGGCTATGGCTAGAGATGGATTGTTACCGTCATTCTTTTCAGACATTGATAAACATACCCAGGTTCCTGTAAAGAGCACGATAGTGATTGGGATTCTTGCTGCAGCCCTAGCATTTTTCATGGATGTTTCACAGTTAGCAGGGATGGTGAGTGGATTGTCAAGAAAATTCCTGCAAGTTTGTGAATGTGAATACTAGAACTTTCATTCACTGCTGTTGCGGTTTCTGTCCTGATACTGAGATACGTTCCCACCAGATGTAGTCCCCCTTGCCTCATCATTTCATGAGTCTATTGATGCTTCTTCGCCTTTGCTGCTTGGTGGTGGTGATGTTGAGGATGTTTCTAGCTTGAAATTTAAGGATCCCGTCAAGTTCTTTGATCATGGTAAAGGCATACACAGTGGAGGGACTTCGATTAGAACTTGTATCTGTCACAAACAAATTGACCTAGACGATGGAAATCACCAAAAGAGGCGAACGATTGCTGCTTGGAGCATAACCTTTGTCTGCATTGGCGTTCTCACTCTCACATATTCTGCTTCTTCTGAGTACCTAACAAGGTATTTTACACCCTATGCGTGCTACCAATGTTATCTACCCTGCACCAGTTCTTGTGATTTTGAACATTGTGTTTTTTCACTCCAGGATTCTACGCTTCACATCTTTCATAGTGGGTGGAGGTCTTCTTTTGTGTGGTCTGATAGCTCAGGATAATGGGAGGCACAGCTTTGGCCACACAGGAGAGGAGGTAGGTAATTTAAGTATAGAATAGAGATACTTCAATCACCATGACATTTGAGTCATTGACTGCCCAGTGCCATTGATGGATAAACTATTGTTAAAATCTTTCCAGGTTTCACTTGCCCTTTTGTTCCATTCCTACCAGTTGCTTGCATGCTTGTCAACACGTACTTGCTGGTGAATCTGGGGTGAGTTAATATTAACAACAGAATAAAATTAATGTATTTCTCAATTTAAGCAAAGAAAGCATTGATCTTTCCCATTTTTGCCCTCTAATGAAATGGAAATGCATACAGGGGCGGGACGTGGCTCCGAGTATCAGTATGGCTGCTGATTGGAGCAGTTATCTACTTGTTCTATGGTCGGACTCACAGCTCTCTCATGGATGCCGTTTACGTTCCTAATGCATACGCAGATAAGGTATATCGTGCTTCGTCAAGTTACCAGGTCGGAGAAGATGAGTGCACAACATAGTGACATTCTTTCTATATATAAAAGCTGGGTACGCTTTTTGCCCCCGTAACTGTAGCACTTTCTGTCTTCTAGCGCCTATCAAAGCTTTTGTGAGAAATCTTCCCCACCCAACTGCTTTCCCTCATTAGTTCTTCCCCAAATCCACACTACGGCCAGTACACCACTGCTGTGGTTCCCCCTTATTGCAATTGTCGTACCATCCTTCCATCAATTCTCTTCACCACGCCACCGCTGAGCAGGGACTCTGCACGCAACCGGTACAGCTCTTGACTTCTAGCCCAATTGATTGCTTTACCTGTCCTCTCCAAATCGATTGCTTTTCCTCTCCTTTGCAGCACTCCAATACCCATACCTCTCTCCGCCATTCTTCTTTCCCGACCCAATCCCCCATTCCACCTCATAAGCGGCAGAACCTTTACTCAAATGTCCTTTCCTTTTCTTCTTCTCTCTTCTCTGTTAACACTTCTGCGATTGAATCCCAAGCTGGCCGGCCGTAGCTCCAATCTCCATCAAGGTTACAGCAACTATATCAGGTATTCATTTATTTCCTTCATTTGGTTTGGCCAGAGTTGCTGGCGGGGTTTCTCTCCTTTGTCTCAGTTTGGTCGTTCAGGGATGGACGAATCATCAGTCCAAGATGATTCCTTTTTTTTTTCCTAATAGATTTCCCTTTCTCTTTTGCCAGAGTTGCTTGGACAGGTTCCCTATCACTACTCTCGGCCCGCTTCTTCTAGATTTCTGATTTCGTGCTCGAGCTTGGGCTATGGGGATGAACAATCGTATTGGTCGGAACTGATGGATGATCATGGATTGTAGGCAAGAAGTTGAATCATTTGATCATGATCAGTAAGCATTCTAATTTCTTCTACTTTGTATTAATTTCTTAAGATTTCCCATTAACAATAGGAGGAGGAACACCTCTCTCCCTGTTACTCTCTGATATTTTCGGCCATTTTCACAGACCCAACCCTGTTACTCTCTTTTACAGAGAATAGATCTTTCTGGCAAAGAGAAAATCCATTCATGGGTGTTAGTTTAAGATTGGACTCGGACCGGTGCGCGCGTTCGACTGCTGGATTTGATTAAGTGCCATCTGAACTCAGAATTCCATTTTTTTCCATATCGCAGGTATTTTGTTGTGAATGCAACAGATGCATTTCTTCTCTTCTACTAGCTGTAACATGTATGTGCTATCGGGCTTCCAAAATTAGAGAGGTTGCTGCCGGATGGAAAGGCGTGTTCTATTGAATGTTTGTCTATTGGTTTAAAATGGTGGTTCTCAGTTTCCTTATTTTATTATGCCGCAGCACCAATTGGGAGTTCAAATATCAGGTTTGTGCATCAAATTCACACTGCGTTGTTGATCATAATTCAGTATAGAAAGTCCATGTACATATCATTACATCTACGTGCTTTGCTCATTGCTTATTAGTTGTTCTGTGCTTTCTATGAAAAGGAGTTTGATTTATTTTTCTTTATTTTGATTGAGTGGAGCCTTTATATTTCCATCCTGTGTTTGAAAATCACTTACCCTAATTGTAACCACCCATTTGACAATTTAGCTGCTTCCTTTGTTAAAGTAACATGACTAATTGTTTAAAATCAACGGCAAAAAGAACTTGGTTCATTCGAACATGAGGAGGTTAGAGAGGACACTAGATGGGAAATGTATTGATTAGTTGTCTGGAAGTGTTGTGAACTTCGTGGAAGGGTAGTTTTACTTCATATATTCAGGCATGTAATCTTTTCAGGAATCACGTTCTGCCCTATCTCTGTATTGCTAATGTGAGGGTTGTTTTTGGTGTTGCATGAGAAAAAATTGGAAGTGGCAAGAAGATAGAAAGGGTATGTAGATTGGACAAACATGCCTGCAATTTAGGATTGCCATGATGGCATGCTGACTACGTCCATTTTACTTGGTACGTAGTCACCCAGCCAATTTATTATTAGAAACAAAAGTCGTTGATATTGGGGGAAACCCATTTTTGATACTAATTACTAACTATATAGCATTCAGCAGGGATTTATTTTGTTCGTTTTAACTGTTTATATGGGGATCGGATTTGTCGTGTTTGCCGCATTTCTCTCTTTATGACAATCTGCATGATATATGGGGTGATAATGGCAATTATGGAGGTACCAGAATCATGTTTTCTCAGCGGTTTATATATGTTCTGTTGTAAATTTACAGCTCCCAGTTCAGGTCTGCAACCAGATTGTCTTTTCCAGTTCCAATGATGGGCCCGACAAGCCGTGAATCAGATGTGGACCTCAAGACCGGTGGTTAAGTTCTTACTTTCATTCTCTTAGGTGAATTTGTTAGTGGCACATAGATTAGAGGCTGATGACAAATGATTGATAGTGAAGCTAAACCAACCGAGGGTGTTGCTTGACGAAATTCTACTGCCTCCTTCCATTTTGTTGTTTGAGTTTGTTAATTCACTCGCTTAGTTAGTGGATATATCTGTCACTTTTTTTTTCCAGCACCAATCCTCTAAGTTTTTCTGTATCTCCTTGCTTCAACAACACCAATCTTCTAGACGAAACCTATAACCTATCAAAGGACAGTCTATGCGTTGTTGAAGGACCAAGTTAAGACGAATGATATCCTGTAAGGACTTAGACGAAACATTGGACCTGAGATGGAGCTTATTTTAGTACTTCCATACCAGGGATGTATTATCATTGTTCTTGCTTATATTGGATACAAGCTGCACAACACTTTCACTTGCATCCACAAATCGATTTACAATTTTCCTTAAGCTTTTGTCCATTTTCTTTTAGTTTTGCCTTTAGTGGATAGATACGAATCAGTTTGTTCTGCTGCCATTGTTTCTCATTATTAGTCTTAGGTTATTAATAAGATTCCTTCTTTCCTTTATTGGGTTTAACTGCTAAGTTTTAAATGCATTTTTTGTTTTGTTTTGGTCAATCTGCAGCTTCCGAAAAGTTAATACAGGTTAAATGATTCTTCTGAGATTTGTGTAGAGCTTATGCAGTTACAGCTCCAATGCCAAATTAAATGGTATTGTGGAACTCGGTTTAAGATGCCCTTCGAGACTAAGGATTCATCTACCTTTTCTCATCCTATTCATGTTTGTTTTTTTATGCTTGGAAGCATATAGTATGAGGAAGGATTGCAGTAGATGCCGGACAAGTCAAAATCCCGAGGCAATAGAAATGAAAGGAAAAGTATGTGTAAAGTATCAATATTGTTGGTTGCACATGTCTCTTACACTTTGAAAGTTTTTGACCGAAAAAAATATGCTACTTGCTTTGCTTTCTGTATATAATTTCCAACTATTTTCATCAACACTATACTGCTTTAACACTATTAAATCTCCCGCGGCGTAGCCGTGGGTATTGATACTAGTGTTACTAATGATGAACTACTACAACCCCAAGACTTTTATCATTTTAACCGTTGTGTTGAAAGGTGAAATTTTGATGGGCTATGTATATGCTTCGTAAATTAAATGTATTTCTTAATTCTTAGGCTGACAGATATCAGAGCCAGCCAGCCAACAAATTGTATAATTATGTGAGCTGGGATTGAAAACAAAGTGTAAATAGCTCTTTTTGTATAGATTAAAACATGTATACCAATCTCTACATAGCTTCACTGTTACATTCTTGCCAAGAACATTTGGAGTGGTCTCTTTCATAAGAAACAATTACCAAGGAATTCGAGCAAACAACTGCAAGATTTCACTCTTTTCTGGTTGTCTGATATTTTCCCTGTTTAGGCAATTCTGTTTATCCAAAATTGCATTTATTGTTTATCAGCAGTGTATCCAATTCCTATTGTCATTCAAGAAAACCCTAACTCCCTCGTTCTCCACTCCTTCAAGCGTTGCATCTTACATTGGAGCAAAAGCCCCACCACACTGCAAGATTTGCTAAGCTGCACCCAACACAACCAGGTATCGTTGCTTGCATAAGAATCAGCACTTTGGGATAGATTGTTGCAAGATAAATCCTAGCTCTGCACAACCCTAATGTGGCTGAAGGTAGCTAGCATTCGACCGGGGGAGCTATTGTGCGAGAAGCCTCCTCAAGCTACCCAAACTGTTTGGAAATTTCACATGATAATTGATTGCTGGATAGATCCAGCAAAAGTGTACAATCAGCGCCCTTGATGATGAGTCTTCCAACAACATAGTGGATGTAAATGTTAACATATCCTCGGAGGAATAGAGGATGAATAGAAAAGGCTGACTATGACAACAAAGAAACTGCATGTCAAATTCAACTCCTGTTGAATACTTTCCACTCCAGGTCCAAAATATTCCTCAATAACTTGTTGCCAACGAGTCCCAGGAAAATAAAGCACACGGGATCTCAGACAAAAACAAGGGTGACTTCGCTTGTGGCTGCGGATTCTTCGACTACCACAGAACAATATGTGAGAGGAAGGAACCTGACCTGACTGAATGACAAAATACTCAGCGACTCTATTCTCGCTGGAAACTTTATAGTGCCTTTTGTTCGGATAAAACCAGGACCTCTTCTCTTTTCTCCCCCTTCTCTTTTTTTTCTTTACCCACATTGACTGCTTGCTCGTATAAGAGTTGGCAACAAAAATAATTTCGGCCAAAATTCATGAGGAAATTTGGCAATGGGCTAAAAAGCAGTTAGAACGTCAAAATTTTGCTTCCTAGCTAAACCAGGGAGGGAAAATATACACTGTACAGAAGACACGTTGAGTTGAGTTGAGTTGAGTCGAGTTTGAGAGGCTTCTCGTTTCTCAGCCATTGAGCTTTGCCAGGAATTGAGACAGGTTGTACTCCTCGGTGTACTGGGATTGATCCCATAGCTCCTCCAGACCACCCAGAATGGCTTTCATTCCCTTCCCTGTGCCCATCAGCTTCGGGTCTCCATCAAACTTACCATCTCCATGCTTTGAGGCAGTTGTTCCCTGTTTTGGTTAAAAACAAACCATGTTTGGTTAGCGGAAATCTGGGATGCTTATATGGGTATGGTTGTATTTTTCTAAACAATAGGTTGGCCCAAAAAAATTTTGATTTGATAGGTAAATAAACACACCCCAACTGTCAAATGAATGTAACTTGTGTTTAGTAAAAAAAAACATATACCTTTGAAGTGGTTTCAGCGGATGCAAATAGATCAAGCAATTGGTCGGTGTTCATTGTTTTCATACTAGCATTCTCGGAGTTAATGACTGCATTGGCAACTGAAACCTTGAACCTTTGGAGACTCATGACTTTCTCTTCCAAGGTGCCTCGCATGATGAGCCTATGAACATTCACTACTTTCTTTTGGCCTAATCTATGCGCCCTGTCCATTGCCTGCAGAAAGCCACAGAATTATCTCCCTTCATAACATTCAATACAAGAAAAGAAGCAAATGCCCGTATATATAGTGGATCCATTAAACTGCAATCATGTGGCTAAGCTTCCAAACTCATTTAGCATTGCACTGATATTTCAACTTTGTAAGCCATGCTCGTTAAATGACAGGACATCAATACAGGAATCCTTAATGGGAACTTTATATTTCAGTGCCCCAAACAAACTCAGCCCACTACACATAATGCCACGGGTAAAAGATTAAGCAAAACTCACTTAAGATGTAATGAAGAGAGAGAGAAAAAAAAAGAAGCAAAGAAGGTATACCTGATGGTCTCGCATTGGATTCCAGTCGTGTTCCATAAAGACGAGTGTGTCAGCAGACGTGAGATTTAGCCCAAGCCCGCCAACTGAAAACAGAACAAACAATATTATTGATTCACTTGATTACAGTACAAGCCAAAATCATCCAAAAGATGCTCAATTCATATCAGGAAGACTCGTTAGGAAGGAAATGATTTACCATGAGTGGTGAGCAATAAGACATCAATGGTCGGATCGGAATTAAATGCTTTTACAATATCAAATCGCTTTTCTGGCTCCACGGATCCATCCAGCCGCAAGTATGTGACACTGCTTTAGAAAAGTTCCGAAGAAATCAGAAGAGACAACCACTATAGTCGAATGAAAAGCAAGCATAACCAATGTGTATCTATCTAACTGGAGCTCTGATAACTTGCTTTCACATAAACGGGCAAGGGAATGCAAAGCTATCATTCACCTAGAATATCTTGTACACTACAAACTAGTAAAATACACTGACAGGCGAACAAGATATTTGATATTAATTTAGGCAACAGAAAAGTCACCTTTTCATATGAGCATGAAATAAATCCCTCTCAATGATATCAAGAAGTCCCTACAAAAACGAGAACAACTTCTGAGTAACACGTTTTGAGAAAAATGATTGGGAACACCAAAAGCATTATAGGGCAAATTACTTTGTGCTGAGCGAATATCAGAACCCTGTGCTGCCCAACAGTGCCAACATTCTCAAAACTTGAAGTATCTACACCAATGCCACACTCTTCAAGGATCTCTTGGAGAGCAACTAATTTTGGAGAGTGATGTGGCTTGCGAAGTTCAGAAATCACATTAGCATTTGAAGGAAAGAACTCAGATAGCTGGGATAGGAGTGATTCAGGCATCTTATCACCAAGAACAAGTAATGGATGACTGCAGAGCTTTAACAAATACTGAATTGCCTGAAATAAAGTGCATATAGAGATGATTAATGTATACAAAATGGACTATACCCATCTAAACAAATCGAAAGAGTTTAGCAAAGTATATAGTACCTGAAAAACATGAGCAGATGCTTTAGGTGAGGCAGTAGTTCCTTCAGTATCTGCTGACTCGTGCAATTTTACCATACTAGAAATCTCTTTTTTAGCATGCGACCCAGAAAACTGCTCATAGAGTTGCAGTTGGATTGGGGTAAGGTCGCAGTATCTATCTTGAATAATTTTCTCAGGCAGGTCAGATAGAACTTCATCTTTTGTTCGCCGGAGAAGAAACGGCATCACCTGTAGTCAAACAAACCAAGGTATCAATAAATTACGGGCAAAATACACACCAACATAGCCCACGCCCTCTAGGGGAAGCTGCATAGACAGTTCCCATAGAGTGTGGAGAGCTGAGATCACAGACAGCTAAGCCACCGAGTATGGACACCATAGATAATATATATGGACAACCATCTTATGATTGTGTAATTTATTATGTAAGGTTTCTTCTCCATTGTCATTTTGCTGACTTTCTATTAATTAATTTCATGAATACAGAAGGGACCTGACCTGCTTGTGTAAGGCTTCCATAGCAAGTGCTCCAGCTTCAGCATCCTTGGCAGAACATTTCGCATCTCTAGCAGCCAATAACGGTTTCCCATATGTAGCTTGAAACTGCCAGTTTGACATAGAATAAGTGATTCAATAGTTCAAGAACATGAGGAGACACGACTGAAACCCAAAACAAACAGTTCACCAGCATGTACAGAAATGTCCAACCTCGTACAATCAACTCCCCATCTTAGTTTAGGACGAGGGATCATTCAAGCACAATCATATTCTTTCGAAATGGAATATAGATATATCTTTACGAGCAAAACATTAAAATGATCCACTTTAAACTAAAGGAAAAATGCTTACTTGTCTCTCCGTTCCAAGAAAGCCAGGCATCAGAAAGTCAAACAGTGACCATAGATCCATAATGTTGTTCTGCAATTCAAAACAAACCGTTATCAGATAAAGCATGATGCTCTATCCATGCAACTTCGACTGATGCTTACCTGGATTGGAGTCCCGCTGAGTATTAGGCGGTGTTGGGCTTTAAGTTGCTTTATCGAGGCTGTAATTTTGGATTTGGCATTCTTGATTATATGTCCTTCGTCTAAAATACAATAATTCCAAAGAAACTGCCCAAGGTACTCAATGTCCTTGCGGATGACATCATATGAAGTTATAACAACATTGTGCTTATCAAAGAGTTCCCTAAGAGACATCCGTTCTTGAGCAGAACCAGCATACTGTAAGGTGCTTACCAGAGAAACATCAATATACTTCTCTATTTCAAAGGCCCAGTGGCCCACAAGCGTTGATGGGCAAACAATCAAAGAAGGTTGGATAGCCTTGCCATTGTCAGTCCTACGCCTCTCGGCTATATCAGATGCAACAATGGCTGATGCTTGTAATGTTTTCCCTAGCCCCATATCATCACATAGGATACCGTGAAGCTTGAAACGCTTCAAGAAAGCTAACCAGTTAATGCCTTCCTGTTGATACCTGAAATGTTGATATTAGATGCAAATTAGTAAGCTAAAAGAACATGAACGAAGAAACATATAAGAAGCTTATAGAAAATTTGTCTCAATGCTCTCAACCAAGAGCACCAAAAAATCCAAGACAAGAAAATAAGTCATTCCACAGCAGATCATGAGATGGGATCAAAATATCCAAAACGCAAATGTCCTACCAGAAGAATCACGAAAATCACACATCTTCGAACAAATTAGATAGATTTAATTGAGTCTAAAATGGCAAACTACACTCTCTTGCCTGCTTCCATTTCACCCTTGCGGTCTCTCCATCCAATAAAGGGAATCAGTGAAAACACTCTCATAAGAACAGCATGTTTTCAACTATGTACAACTGCCTAAAAGTCCCAGAGTAAGAGCTCAATGGATATTTTAGACAACAGAACCAGCTTCATTCCAAGTGTAACAGTGTAGAGGAGACAGAAATGTTGGACATTAAGAAGCAAGTTATCCACCGGGAGAAGTCTGCAAATTTTTATTGGCTGACAAGGCTAGTACAAGGTTACTATAATGCTCAATGAACTCTCTCTTCTTTGACTGAAGTTAGGGTTGTCCTAATCACTGCGTTTAGAAGTCCACAACAGAACCATCCACCAAGCGTGAGCAGTTCTCCCTCTTCAAATTACAGTGATAACTTTACAGCCCCTTACCTAGCCAAAGAGTTTCATCACAATCATTCTTCTCTATCCCAAAGTACAGGCTGCTACTTTGACATTCTAAGAAACTAGTTTGATATTATATGAAACTTTTACACTTTCGCCTAAAGTTGCAGTCTTTGTTTCACACTTTCACTAGGCTTACAAGATGACTACATATGACCATCCACCATGTTGAGAAGGTCCTTATAACTACAATAACTTCACAGTGCCCTTAGTCTACAGCCCACTTCTAGGATTCTCAAGATGAAAGGTACACCATCAGCAACTGCTAGCAGGTATTCACAAGAATCCATTGGAATACATCATCAGTTTCCTACGTTTCTGCTGGCTAAGTTTTTGTATATTCCTCAACCTGGTTTCACAGGAAATCCTAGTTTGCAGGAAAACAGCCAGGACTTGAATGCCTTTTACAAAGTGGGGCATAATGAATTAAAGCAAGCCACTTATAGAATGAAAACTACACAGAAAAAAGGCCAGTGCATATACATTAGCATGCTACAATTCACAGAGCAGTACCTCCTTAAAGATACTTTCAATTCAGTGCTGAGTTTGTAATCCTCTATATGGGAATTGTCAAGCAGCTGCTCCAGAAACTGTGCATCTTCTCCATTTTGGGGAAATCCTTCACCTAATCCACTCGGAGGTGGAGCACCTCGTGCAAGAGGAAGAAGTGGGACGAGAGCAGCAAAACTACGCGTCACACTTTGTCTGACCGATTGATCACAATCACTCATGCACCTTAGAAGAGGAACAACTAATAATGGAGCATATGGAACAAGCTCCACATTTAGTCCCTGCACGAGCGTACTGATAAGCATTCCTGCGCCTTGTCTAGAATGTACAGATGTCATATCCCCCAACATTGGAACAGCATTCTCAATGACAGCATTCATGATATCAGTGGTCATGGATTTGGCCATTACAGTGATGCACCTAGAGGAAGCTAATCTAACTGCAACATGAGAATGACGAATGCATTGAAAAATGCAAGGGAGCAGTGTGAGTAGCTTAGATTTCAGCCCATCATCCAGCAGTGAAGAAATAGACCGTACGACCTGCAACCATAAACAGAAAAGATTGAACATTTTAAAGGTTCTGTCGGACCAGCTATTCATGCAATAACAAGAATTTATTCAACCACTGACAAACGATTCATAACCATATCAGATGACGGACAATTTCAGAAATGTACATCCCAGGACCAAGGAAATCAAGTCTCGTCAATTTTCTTACTTGCAAACAAAATAAGATAAGGCAGTGTAAAAGACCTGTATATTATTGATCAAGACTTGAGGATCTGCACTAGACTCAGGTATTTGACTTTCATGCCCAGCGTCTCCAGGAATCAACACTTCAGTGAGACAATCCCATATTTTGGGAAGCTTATCAAATAATGAAGCACCAAACTTCTTGCACAAATATTTCAATGCAAGTTCAGAACCTCTTCTGCTGATAAAGCCTTCAACTTTGGATCTGTCTTCTCCACCAGTGAACATATGGACCCTTGACTTCTGTTTTCCTCCACTGTTCCCAAATGTGAGGAAGTCTTGATCATCAATGATCTCCATACAGCCAATAACTCTGGCTTGGGGTGTCTCACAAGGATCCATGCATGTCAAACTACAAATGTTCTTGATTAACTTATCATTTGTGCTACGTTTACGTGAAATGCAATGAGAGATTAGCTCTGCAAGTGCATCAGCAGACTTCTCCTGCAGTATCTCCTCCTTTAAAGAAGCAAGGATTCAGGTTAAACCCACAACAAAACAGACACCAAATCAATGAAACACAACGGAAATCCAGAAAGACCAGACACCTGCTCTCTTTTAATTGAGGCCATAAGAGGAAGAATTATCGGAGTGAGTCGTTCTGGAAGCTCAGACATCCAGACAACTGCAGCAGACACTAGTGCAGAGACAGTAACGTGTAGATTACCCTGCACATTTAGAGCAAAATAATAAAAAGATCAGAGGGAATCAACCACAGTGTAGGGCTCTTCACACAGAAAATGTATCACATTCAATGTTCAGATTTCGAGGTCAAGATACCACCAGTTGGAATACCTGAACACATTTTAAATAGCCTGACGTTGTCAAAAGCCGCTGTTTTGTTGATTCAATATCTACATTGTTCTGTTGCAAGTGTTCATTTCCAATATCTCCAGTGCCAACTGGTGGTATCTTGGATGCAAAATTAATTGCCTCGTCAGGACTCAAACTCCCAACACGCTCTCGAACAGCCAAAGCTACATCATGTAACATGCCAAATGATTCCATAACATGTACCAACTGACCGACTTCATTGCGCATCTTTGAATATGTTCGTAATAGCTCAGAATAAGGAAATATAGAATCCTTCGTAGGAAATGCCGGGTCGTGACAGGATAACAAATCTAGCAACCAGTTCTTAATGTTCGTGGGAAAAGCTGACATGACTTCCTGGGTCTTGGGAAGGTCATTGCCTTGCATCTCTTTAAACCATGATATCAGAACCAAGGCCGCAACCTAATAAAGAAAATCCAGACAGAGAGAGAGAGCGGCGGCATCAGTTATTTATTCTAATAGTATACAAAGGAATATGCATTCACATAGAAAATAGATTGCACAAAAAGATTATGGAAAGATAATAGAACTAGATACCTGACGCTGAACACCAGATAAGGAAGAAAGGGCAGCCCAGAGGGGCTCTATCACACACTGTGCAGAGCTTTCACGTAACTTAGAAGCAAAGATTCCCAATGCAGATGCTGTTATTACTCGAGTGTTAGTCACAGAAATATCCACATCACCACCAACAATTATCTTGATCATGCTAGCAGAAGCATCTCCATTTCTCTCCTGGGCTGGAATAGGCTCATTTGCAGAACCCAAGCCAAGGGTTCTACAAGACCCATGTTCAACCCCAGCAGCTCTCATCTTAGCTGCTGCTTTGAAATGGGACTTCCGAGGCAATGCCATAGGCCAAAACATCTTCGATGAATCCAATGGTGAACCAAACGGAGTGGTCGAAAGTTCAATCCAGGAAGAGATGTAAGCATTTGCAACACTTTCCAAGTCCTCAACTGGGCACTAAGGTCATCAGAAAACATTGTTAGTGAGCTCTAGTCTGAAACTTAGATTCCAGGTGAACTGTCAAAAATTTCTGAAGAGTTCAATCCAAAAATACAACACCACAGTACATTAAGGACCAATCAGAATTAGTGTGTGGGCACATTTAATAAGCACAGCAACTCAATAAAATAGACTGACAAGAGCATCTGAACAGTGTAAGACTTCCAAAGACCGGGAGAATAAAAACAATTAAACTTGGCAATGAGAAATCACAATAATGATAGTTGGGTGTTTGTGAAGCATTGTTGCACCACACCACCTATGTACTGTTGAGGACTTGAGGCTAGTCAAGCTTGTCATGCATTAGGCATGCACAAAAATTGCGCTTGTGATAAAGCTTGAAACGTTTTTCGAAGCAAACCAAACCATAGACAACATTTATAGGTAAACTCAGAAGAATCTGAAAGAGGATCTCACTGCATGCTGAGCCTCACATGCCATTAGGGGCGCAACTATGTTGCCATGTCGAGAAGTATAAGAAAACAGATGCAATCATAAAAGAAAAATAACTGAAGAAAATTTCGAATCGTTAAACGCCACAAGAACGTAGCATATTATACAGAGACGGGCAAAAAGAAAATAATTAAAGTGAAAACAACACCTGAACAAGGAGCCTCCAGACCCTCTCTGAGCAATGCAAAATTCGCTCATTTGATTCTAGCAACAGATTCTGGAAAACAATCCGAAGAGTATCCCCCAAAATGAAAGAAGGCCAAAATGAAGAACCAGATGGATCAGAGACACTCCGTTTATGACCAGCTTCAAGCAGTTGCTCCTGTGAATGAGATCCTTAAGCAACAGACAACAACAACTGGAAACTAACCAGCACTTCCATGGTTGCACATATCACTGGTAACACTGGGAAAACACAGGATATAATGAAATTTAAGGAATCACATGCAAAGTTCTGGTGCCACAACCAGCAAAGATTATTATTATACTTATAAAAATTTGACAAAATCAGCCAAAGTTTTATACAAACAGAAGTTTATAGTTTCAACAACCAAACTATCATAAGAAATGCTGTATATTGCTAGAAACTAAATATCAGCTTTGCACAACTTAAATAAAATGTTTGGATATATAAGCTACCATCACAGCCATAGGAATTCCAAGGTAATCTAACTCAACTGAAATTCAACAGGCACACATGAGAAGAGAATACATGCAATTACCAAAGTTCGAATAGCTGAGTATCTGACTGATGTGATACTATGCCTCATGAATGGCCACAAACGAGGAGCCAGTGTGGATAACATGTATGGGTTTTCATCCAAATAACTTTTCTCTCCAATATCATCAATGTGTACGACTTCATTTAGATCCAGCTCTTCTTTTGGTTTTGATATCATCTTGGGTATCATCTCTTCCTGGGAATAGATTTCGGCCAAAAGATTCATCACACTGCAAAGAGATCATTGTAGTTTTGAAATCACTTCATCCACAATCATTTAGTTCATAGAACCTTCAGCAGATTGCACAAGTTTCTTTTTCTGGGCAGAAGATAAGGAGAAAAAAATAAATTGTGTACCTAGAAACATTAATCGAACAGCCAGTTGCCATAAAATCAGCATGACTTGAGAAAAGACCAAGCAACAATAATATTCGGAAAATAATCATGAAACGTATCATATTTCAATCCATCTGTAGAGCTATCTGAATACCCCAAAAAAAAAGCTTAGGTTCTAATAAATTAACAGCAATAGTAGAGGAAAAAGGCTGACCAAAAAATACCAGGATCAGCATATTAAAATGCCAACAGAATATTCATAGCAGTACCTGCTGGTGGATGGACTTAGATCGTCTAAATCAAGTAATATATCCCAGAGCAGCATAACTATGGAATGTAATGCCTGACTCTTGACAACAGCACCAGCAGCAGGTATTAAAGCATCTGCCGCAACTGCTCGTACATCATCGTCAGGGTCCTCCAAGCCTGCTTTACACGCAGGTAGAATGTGGCCAAGCAAATCAGGCAGCAGATCCTGCAGAGAAAGAGGATGGGTCTGGCATTATAGGCAATATGATCCTAGAAAATAAAGATATGCAGAACAACTGTCGAACAAGTCCCAGCCAGAAAAATAGCACCAATATACCGGAGCCTGCGTGGTCTCTCTTCATTTTCTATTTTGCATACATTCACTTCCCAGTTTCTCCAACCAATGCAACCAATATTTCCTACTATGATGCACTCCCTTTAGCCTTAGTCAACGTAAAAGTCATGGCATGATGTCTACTCATTTAATAGTTGCAGCGTTGGTGATCGTGAATCTACAACTTAAGGATCAAATTCCTACAATGACTCTAACCAAAAGCCATGCCGAAAATCTTTTAGTGTCGGTCAAAGGAACACCAGGTCACCAGCTTAGCATTTGAATCTTACTCTCTACATTTTTTTAGAAAGCTCAAGATTCAGGATCAATGAACCTAGCCCACATTTATTACATCCGATACCTTAACAATGAATTTGGGAACTGCATCTTATAGTGGTCAACTTGCTTACTTTGTCAAGGTCTATTGTTAGCTGGTAATGGAAGTATCAGAATTGTATATGTAACTTTGTTGTTTAAACTTGACCTGGACTTGGCCATCTATAGCCACAGGCACGCCTTAAGTAAATAAACTAAGTGACTGGTAAATAAAGTGCCAGAAAAAATTATTTTGGTGGAAGATCAACCATCCATAAGAAAGATTTAATCCAAAAAGTTTACCTGTCTAACTGCAACTAAATATTTGATACCCAAAAGACTTCCATGACGAATTTCCCATTCTGGTCTACGCTGAACACAAGAATTTCAAACGAAAAAAGATTACTGATAAGGCAAATGGAAGTATTCAACCAGATTGATAAAGCACGTGCATAGCTTTTTGGACACAAGACGGCTACCTGCATCTGGAGCAAGATATACAAAGTTTCATGTACTAAAGAGCGGTCCATGTACTTGAAGGTTGCACCTAAAGCTTGGGCACAAGTTTCACGTACAGGAGCAACAACCTGATCAGATACATAATCTCCGAATCTGCAGAAGGAAAGCAACACCATAGCAAAAATGAAATAACATGAACTCATCTCGTAAAGTAAAGTAGCATGTGATCAGTTGAATAGCAGCTGGTGCATGAGACTGAGAAACACTATGACCATAGAACCACTTAGGCTTAAGATAGTACAGTTTGACAGCAACTGTATCGTTTAATTTTTTAGCAGAACATTGTCTGTTAACAAGATAAAAAAAAAAATCAAAAGGATCCAATGTATAATGCAATTAAGAGAGATCATTACCGGTCTAGGGACAGAACGCATAAGAACCGAATTGCACAATCCTGAAGGAACTCACTATTTTTCACCCAAGAATACCGAGCCAATTTAACTAAATTCATAAGCTCATTGCTTCCTGAAATGTTGTCCAGTATTTCTGACTTGGCAACACAATGCTCATTTTCTGGATCATCCTTTGTGTCCACCATAGTAACAACTTCTCCAGACGAAGTAGGGCAATAAGGATAGGGTTCGACCTTCACTGTTAGAGGATCAACATGAACTTCACCACTAACCTGCCCTTCAGACAAATCCCGTGCATTATCTTCCACCTTCACACTGATGTCAAAGTCACCATGATACCCAGAAGAGATCAAAGTATCCATTGATAGAGATGACACGTTCTCAGCCTTTGGCTTTTTACTAAGCGGTTGTGTATCATCTGCTGGAACTTGCATATTCAAATCAATTTCTCTCTCTCTTTTTACTGCAATCGGGTAATCAATGTCCTTCAACTCATCAAAGTGACAATCAACACTCAATGCAGGCATAAGCACTCCGGCTGAACCACCATGATGTGATAACATCTCTCTCAAGGCCATGACAGAACCATGGCGAACCTCCCAAACTGCCAATCACTTCATGAGTTATTGCCTAAGAAAAGAGAAAGAAGACTTGAGAACCTAGTCTAGGAAGCTAGGAAACCTTACCAGGGTCAAACATGTCAAGGATTAGTTGTTCAACAAAGCCATGAAAAGGCCACCTCCCATCCCTATCACGCTCAAATCCATCTTCGTCAGAATCTATCTGCATTGAAACCAAGTACAAGAACTTGCCTTAAAATTTGAGAGGACAAAGCAAAAACGACAATAATCAAGAAATTCATAGCAAAACAAAGGCTTATGACAGATGGTTTCAATCCACAAAATATGAAAATTGTGATTTACCTTGCTAAGAGCAACCAAAGGATCTGTGTTTGAGCCTTTAGGAGTAGTACTTATGGATAAGGAGGCATCTGAATTAGCATCTTCAGACCAACCTTTGGCCTGGTCTTTCGAATTTATCTTTGCTTTCCTTTTCAGGAGATTCAGCTCTCTCGCACTTGGCCTCCTTGATACCACACTAGGAACCATAGTTCTGACAAGCTTCTGTATATTATGCACAGCTGGAGGCATGTAAACGCTATGTTCCAATCCGTTCCCTTGAGAGGGTATTCTATGGAGGACGAGATCTTCATCTTTAATCATGTCATTGACATCCATAAACTGTTCACAAACATCCAAACCTGTTGATGTTGAAATCAATTCCAATAAATTAGGCCCACAAAGACAAATGTCCTCTTCCAGACACAAATTATATCATAGTTGAAATGTAAAGTTGTAAGGGGTGATGATATATAAGATTAGAACAAGAAAAAGAATCTAGAATCAATTTTAACAAGCCAGTTGACATCAAGGGAGTAAATACGTCATAAGCAATAAATCCTTTCCAGGCCACTGAGAGAAAAAGACCAAGAAAATAACAGCTAAGCTTCTAGCAACGTCAATAAATGGGACCTAGAATGGAAGACAAAAAGAAAGCAGAAAATGGAGGGAGACCAAAGTGTATTCATTTGACATCAGCCTTTGACTATGCTGCCAGTTTCAAACCCTAGAAAAATATGTGGGAACAATTGCTCTGAGATAAATCATGGAAAATAATAGAAAGAGTTGGTGCTTCAACTCCCAATTGTGTTGAAAAGTGGAACCAACTGACAAATTCAGTAATAACGACTTCGCAGTTAACCATCCAAATAATGGAACAAACTTCCAACCAAAAAAGATTCAGAATGTAAATTTTGATCAATCCTTTTTCCATTTTGTTGGATTTGAATTAAACGTCAAATGATGCATAGGCAGACCATAAAAACCAGTCATCTTGCAAGGAAAGAAAACTATTCAGCATATATATATATATATATATGGTAACTACTTCGGTGCACTCACAAAAATGAGTGCGCTCAATGCACCCAACTCAAAAACTAGTCTTAAGGGGTCGGATTTTGAATTTTAATTTGTAGAATTAGTGTAATATGATTATATAACAGATGATAACAACTAATTAGTGGATTACCCTAAGCCCTAGACCTCCAATTTTGAATTCTATCACTAAAACCCAAATTGTAAACCCTAACCTAACTTTAAATCTCTAAATTCTAAATCCTTCAAATTAAAGTAAATCTTGAATGTTTTTTGTGCAAATTCATGTGCGTTATTGTTCATCACATCATAAGTGATGATTGACATCATTTTGACATGAATCGCATGTTTAAAATGACGGTTATGAAGTGAGTGCACTGAATGCACCCAAAAAAGTGAGTGCGGTTATGAAGTGAGTGCACTGAATGCACCCAAAAAAGTGAGTGCGCTGAAAACGCCACTTTTTTGGGTGCATTCAGTGCACTCACTTCATAACCGTCATTTTAAACATGCGATTCATGTCAAAATGATGTCAATCATCACTTATGATGTGATGAACAATAAAGCACATGAATTTGCACAAAAAACATTCAAGATTTACTTTAATTTGAAGGATTTAGAATTTAGAGATTTAAGGTTAGGTTAGGGTTTACAATTTAGGTTTTAGTGATAGAACTCAAAATTGGAGGTCTAGGGCTTAGGGTAATCCATTAATAAGTAGTGATTTTTGTGAGTGCACCGAAGTAGTCACCATATATATATCTGATTAAGAAACTCCCGTGTCACAGTTACTAACCCAAACGACGTCTCAGATTTTGTTTCTGACGAGCCAAACGGTCCTTTGGGTTCTTGGAATTATCAGTAGCAATGTCATACTCCTGCATCAAAACAAGTAAAAGCACTTTGCTATATGTCTTTGCATAAAAAAAAACACTATTTAGAAAGCAAACTTCTGAGAAGGAATAAGTGTTTATCTAATTCCACGAAAAGAAAAAGCAAGTAGATAGAGTAGTCAGTGAGATATGTGCATGTTCAAGTTAGTGAGTCCAGTGAACTACGAATGTGAATGTGCATGTGCAACCAATACAATGTCACTTTGCAATCCAGTTTCAGCACGGGCAAGTAATACCAATTATGGGACCTAGTTCCAATATAAAACATTACAATGAATGGTGGTTGTGTCAGGACCATCATTTACTTACACTTAACAAGTACAGACAACAAATATTAGGAGAACATTGTCCAATTTATCTGGTGAGAAAATGCACAAGAAAGTCATGAAAAAAGCAGCTTCAACATAGCCATTTCACTTTGCTTTCACTCTCATCCATACAATCCTATTGTAAAACACAGTAAATTCTTGGCGGACAGCCTTGATCCCATACCCAAGGCATCAGGATTCAGGATTTAACAGGGAACAGAGAAAGTACTTGGAAAGCTAACCAATTCAGTTAATAATGTTGCATTTGTAGGAAGAAATGTCACATTAATATTCTCATTCTTTTTATAATTCCATAAGATTGCACTTCAGTCTATATCTGTTTAGTTAGAACATAAAACATGAAGTTACCTGTCCCCCGGACGCCAACAAAGCACCAAACTCCAGCACCTTATTGACTTCAAAACTGTACAGGGGAATAACAAAATGAGAGAAATGGGTATATATGAAACGATCTAGCAAAAGATACAACAGTAAATTGCATAACTACCAAATGTTGCATTCAGATACAAATGACAGAATCAAACAAACATGAGCAAGCATAAATGCCTCAACCACCTTCTGAAAGAGCCATAGGATATAATCTGAGACTGGAAATTAGGTCTTGTCACTAAATCTTCAGCAACACCTGAACTCCCATCATCATACAGCTTCTTCTGAACGCAATCAAAAACCTCGGGCAGAGATGTATGTTTAACATTTTCCACAATAGCGCCAATTGCATGAGCAGCAGCAACTCTTGTATCCCAGTTTTTACTCCGCAAAAATGGAGAAACCTGTTGTCACAAGGTACACAAGCAAGATTTTTATAAAGCTTTTAGAGCTTAAACATCCATACAATAAGAGTATTTTTTTGACTTATTTTTTACTCTCAAACTCAGAAAACAAAACAAGCAAACTAAATATCTAACTTCAGCCCTTGTCTCTGTGTGTGTGTTGGCCACAGTGCTCATCCACCATTTAACAAAATAAAAAAATATAAAGAAGAAAACTTGTACCCACTCTTCCATTTTTTACCGTTTTCTCCTCCATTATTTGAACTTAATAACACTTACCTCCCCTAGGTCTGCCTTTATAAAATCTAAACTGAACAACTCTAATCATGCTCCTTCAACCGCTTCAGTTTTAGCTCCTAAAATTTTACATACGACCGAACCAAACACCGCCTGGTAATTTATACCTAAAAGCACCTAAACGGGCATCATATGAACAACTTGGAACATAGATCTCAGGTAATAGGCTTATTATGAAGAGAAGATCATATGCATAACCAAACTCAGGAGTCAAGAACAGCTGGTTTGATACACTATTAGGTCGCTTTTGCTCCCCCGGGAACTAAGGGACTGGTAGTTCTGTGCTGTGCGGAATAAAACTTCCAAGTACTATGCTGCTGTTGAAAAATATTCTTAAGAGTGACAAACGAATAGTTGGAATGACAGTTCTATGTCCAGATATCTAATAAAAAAATGCACGGAATTCTATTTACTGCTTACATCTACTCAAAAGCAATGGCTCTATTGTCCAGATTGGATGAGAGCAAAAGAAATATGTCATTTTCTTATACTTTTCAGTAATCAACTAAATGCAACTAGCACCATCCCAATCCTAACCAGATTTGTCCATCCCACTTTTCTTTTGGTGCACATTTATTCCATCTGACGTACAACCAGTAGGAAAGAATACCTTCCCATACCACTATCATATTCTCAAATACCAAATCTCAAGCATAATACATTTGGAGAGTAGTCAAGATACTCAATAAGACAAAGCAGGAATTAACATTAAATCATGAATAAGAAACGAAAATATTCAAGAGGTTCTGTTCTACCACTACAAAGTTTATTCTCCTAAGATGATAGGATGGGGGATAAAAAAACTCAAACCCACAAGAATTGAAGAGGCTTTAAATGCACTCTACAAATTTCCAAGAGAAAATTAACTCATTTGGAACCCTTGTCCACCTTGGTGACCTTAGTCGTCCATCTTAGACTTCAATCTAAGAGAACATCTTCATCTCTTAATTCCAATTTAAGCTTATAGCATATGTTACTGCAGCTCACAAACCACAAGGCCAATGATGGATACTCTGGAATAGGGGGAAATGTGGACTAGCAACATCTAGTTGGAGCGAAGGGAAAACCACTGAAAGTAAGGGTTGGCTAGGCACGGTAAAACATGCAAGCAGGACTACGCAGGCGTACCTTCTTCAGAAGAGAGCTCAACTCCTGAGGATGGGATTTTGCTATATCCCCAATCTGCTTCGCGGCAGTGAATCTCGTTGCTTGACTCGAACCAGCTAAGAGGCGTCCACGTTAAAGAAGACTAGAACAAACCCACACAATATCCACACGCAACGAAGCATCGATATGGAAAGTATAAAAAACCAGGGAAAATGAGATTCAAGGACCACAATTCGAACCAATAGGAAGGGAAAGCTAAAACCAGAAAAGCACAAAGGATACTGTCTAATAGGGTAAGCAACCGATTGAGCCGGGAAGACTGCTGAGCCATACCCTACCGGACACAACCGACCAACTCTACCGGGAAATTAATAACGCCCGAATTGGAAACAACAAGAAGCATTTAGCATCCGCAATTCAGTTGACACGGCCACGTGCAATCCCTGAGACACATACGCAATCGAGACGATCGGAAAGCTAGAGACGACGAGTTCCCGACAATGGCAATGGAGATATCAGATAAAATATTCGCGAGGATCCACTGCGGAAAGAATGATGAAGAAATGGATAAAGCAAAGGCCAAGCATCGCGAAAGGATTAGGGTTACCGGAAAAGGCGGAGCAGAAAATGGTGACGGAGAAGGAGAGTATGCCGACCGTCGACCGATGGCCTCGACGTTTTTTTTTTTTCTCCTTCCTTTGCTTCCCTTCGCTCTCCTCTCTTACCCCTTCTTTTATAAAAAAAAAAGTTCAAATCGCAAATCATTTCCGTTTTTTATTAATTAATTTTTCTGTGACAATGATCCATGGAGGCGGGGTTTAGGGCTAGAAAACGGTGCGGTCTGGTCCAGATAGAGAGGGTAGAACAGAGATCATGAATTTGACTATAACCTATACGGTCCAAACCAGACCACGTCTGTGCAGTGCGATCTGGTACGGTCTGGACCGAGTAGACCATGTTCAACTAAAAATGTATTGTCCAATGTTAAATATTAGCTAGTAACTAAGATAAAAACACATTGGCATCTATTCCGACAAAGTTCAAAAGTCAACATAACACCAACAATTTCAAGTTTACAACCCAAGATAACAAATGAGACAACTTGCTTTCTTGTGATCATTTTCATTAAACCTCTTGTACTCCTTTCATATTTTCAACCTCAATTTTCCCCATATACGGATGTCCTCGGCATCTTGAAAGACAGTAGCAGAAGTTGTTGGAGCTGCTGTTGGGGCTGCTGGATCAGGTACTAGTTGATGCCCCGGAGCTGGACGAGGCGACATAGCTGCTAAATCTGCATCAGTTCCAGAGCTATTAGTTCCAAAGTAAGACAAAGTGAGATAAAGGAAAAGTTCATCCTTACATTCCCAAGGCTTAAAGGAAAGGATATCAGAGTTCCAACCGAGCATACTAGAGAGCGGTATTAAGTACCAGGAGAACAAGGTGCGAGCTAGCCACTATTTCACCGACAAGTAGCTAACAGAATGAATTTAGCCAAAATAATAGGCTTTCGAGACCTTACGATTTTCGTGGACACGGGAGTTGGGAAATGTTGTGATACAAGTAAGGTGGGTGGAACCGAGGAGAATAAAAAGATTGTTATGGCAGAGGGGCCAGTTACCCTAAAGGGGCAAACTTGTTGCTTGGTTAGTCCATCCTAAACAGGAAGAGTATCTAAACCATGTGACACGTATAAAAGGATGAAAGGACATCCTGGATAAGTAACAAAAAGTCGAAGTACCAGCATGAGGATTTAAATTGTATGGGACAATCATCAAGGTGATGGACATTCGGTGTAGGGTCTAAAGCTAAGATAGATTACCAGGAGCAAGTAAGAGATGCAAAGTTAGAATGTACAAGGAACTAGGGACCTACGTGGTCAACCATGGATAAGAGTTAAATGAGTTTTACGACCTTGCAAGGAGAAGTATAAGCTTCCATTAGTAACCTTGGGGTTCGAAATGGGCATCAACTTCTTATGTACAAAATGATGGAGGTAGTGGATGCCCTACATACGTTCGAGGTACATCGTCGATGTGAAGGGGTAAGAAGCACTACCTAGGAACCTGCCTATATGAATAAGCCAGAAACAAACCGGGTATTAGCGAGCAAGTAAAACGCTCACCATGGACGTTAATGTCATGGAGTTCAAGGAGATGCATCAATAGTCGTGATAAGGAGAACATCATAGGTCGAAGTATTGGTGAAATTTTTAGACGAAGTTTCTTAAGGAATCATAAGTGGAGACGTTAAGGCAACTCGGTGATCACAAGATGATTTGAGAAACCACTAGAGCATTGAAGACGTCTATGAATGGAGAATTTAATAGTTGTATCGAGCAAATAGTTAGCTGAGCAAGTTGCCTACGAGAAATGGGTGAACTACCAGTCTACAAGAATCACATCAAATTGGAGGGAAATATTTATAGCTTAATGTCGTACAAGGTAAAGGAGGTACAATTTCTTTCATAAAAAAAAAATTTATTACAAGCAAGGCTTGGGGCCATCACTAGGAACAAATTTCGGGGGCAAATTTTTATAAGTGAGGACGAAATGTGATACCTCAAATTTGATTTAGGTTCAACAAGAAATACTACAAGAGTTGTAACAATGAATCAAAATGAATCGACATTTTGTCCCATCACACAAATGGTCCAAGTTGCGGAATTAAAAGGGCAATGAGTCACTTAAAGCTACACGATGCTACAAACTGGTGAGGATACCTGTTATTGTCAAGAGGATATATAAGAAGTACAGTAAACTATATGAGACAAGCAAAGGACACGATTGAAGTTCATATGGTTAGAATAAATACTTGAGGCAAGGAAGTACAAGAATGGTGTTGACAGATGAATGAGTTTCGTGCAAATTTCGGGGACGAAATTATTTTCCAATAGGGGTAGAAATGTTACACCCCATCCAGGTTTAGGGCGTCTCACCATCTCTTGCCCTTCCATTATTATTGTTCCGCGTCACCAGGAAACAAAAGTTGATTATGGTGGGAGACTTGAATTTCGTGGGTCAAAAGATAAGCAGGATGTTGCCTTTATTCAATTGTTATTTGATTATTATAGCATGGAACCAGTGATGGGGAAAGGGCTTCGGTGCCAATAGTCGTGGAGGTGAAGTGTTATGTGGTTGCATAGCATTAGGAAGCGGTGGTACCGAAGCTAGCAGCTGATTGTCTCCGAGGGATCCCACGACAAGCCGGTGAGCAAAATAAAAAGGACGTGTTCTGGACCATGAGGAAAAAACGATGGCTTGATGGAGGATAACGAGAAACCCAATCAGACGTATGAATGAGGAATCTCTATTACATTAGTAAGGTGGGTGTAAAGGGGGTAATAGCTCAGTCATAGGTCTTTTAGTTTATGCATTTACTTAAAGCAATACTAGTTAATTTTTTAGTTATGCTCGATTATGTGTGTGAGGCATCCCCCCGCCTACTTAAGGTGGAGGCACACATTGTGCTATGTATGTGAAATGCATGGTTAATGGTAAGATGAACCCTCGGGCGGTTGGGCCACTACTGGAAGTGGTAGATGGTCGGATTACTGCTGGACGACGATATGTAACGCAATAGTTGATTGAGGATATTGGGTCACTACTGGACGATGATACGTAACACTGTAGTTTACTAGGCAGGGACTGGACGGCGATACGTATCACAGTACTATTGCCTTGAAGTTAGAGACACCGGAAGACAATACGTAACACGGTGGACCCTATTAATAAGTATATAAGTTAAGATAGAAGTATAGAGCTTCTATATGATATTAAGGAGTAAAGTATTAAGGATGAAAGCGAGAATGAATTTCATGTAAGATAGGAACTTTCTAATAATGTGTTAGTAAGGTTTTGCTTAGGCAAAGACCTTAGAAAGTAATGACGAGACTGACCCCTTCTCCTCACCAGGTTGAGGGAGGATTAGCAGAGGTGGATTCTGAGAAGAAGCAAGGCGAGGCGAGAAGCCGCATCAGAGTGGATGAGATCGAGGGGAGCTCCACGAGGTGCTAGAGTTAGATTTAGTTAGTTGTTTTATGATTCATGATTATGGGTATATATTGGAGGTTCAAGGTTCAGAATTTATGTGGTTTTATTGACTATGGATTGGGGTTGCCCAAATGTTCAGGGCATTTCATTTGAAAAGATTCAGTTATATTTGTTTAATGAAACTTTTGAGGTTGTTTTAAGTTGACTCCGGAGCCCTGTGTATTTCAGTTTGTTTAAAAGGATCGGGTTGTTTCATTTTGGTATCAGAGCCGACATTCCTCTGTTCCTTAGTCTCTAAGGAATACTTTAGTGACGATATGGATTTTTCAAGGTTTTTGTTTTTAAAGGAAAGAAAAAGGGGTGTCAGGGTAAAGGTTTGGCCAAACGAGTCAGGGTTTCTTTTAAGGATTTTTAGAATCTCCAGTATACTCTAATCATGATAAGGAAATAACTCTAGGAGGCCCCGCGGGACAGTTATACGTCTCGGGCAGGAGAGGAGCATATTCCTAAGAGGATCGCTTAGTGAACTCTTTTCATGAGCGAGAAAAGGTAGTTTAAGACAGCACATACCCTACAGGGATGCGAGCTGATCATGATAAGGCTCAGGAAGACGCCAAGTATCTAAGACATCGACAGGCAGTAGGCAAGAAGTTACGACACATGGCAGTCATAATCGAGAGGAAAGGATGCAAGAAAGGCTCGTTAAGTTTGTGAGAATCAAGCGTAGGGCTACGATCCAAGGATTAGTGGAGGTTAGACTTTAAGCAACGCTAGGGGCGCTTAAGCAAAGCCAAGGAGGAATTAAGTTGGTCATGGGGATCCCGAAATGATTTCAAGGGATCAATGTGTTAAGACTAGGAGGAGGTACGTGTGTGTACATGCAACAAAGGAGGAATACCTTATGGATACATTACGTCCCTAAGAAGAGGAATTGTGGACCTGGGAAACTAGATCGACGGAAATTCCTTGAAAAGAAGGAGCCAATCATCGAGATGAACAATGTAAAGAATGAGGTAAGAGCAAGCACACTATTAACCAATAAAGTGCAAGATCGAGGATAAGGTATGCGTCTATGCGAGGGATTCCTACCGGATGGTGATGTGTTCCGTGATAGCGAGTCAGACATGGGGCTGGATGGTGACGAGTTCCGCGGTCTCCATTACCCAAGTTTAGATAAGTCACCGGATAGTGATACGTTTCATGGTAGTCAAAACTCAAGTTGAGGGGCACCCCATTGTGGGCGTTGCCAGGTTTATGCAAGCAAGACTAGAGGTGGTGCCAACTAAGTCGAGGTATGAGGAGGGATTCGAGAGACCCTTCAAGTTACAGTAGTCACGAGAGGTTAAAATTTCAAGGGACACAAAGAGCATCGTCAGACCAAGGTAGGTTAAGAGTTAGAATCTCAAAACTTGCTTAAGAAAAGTTGTCAAGCCAGCTAATGATAGAGAAGAAAGTAGAACGTTTGAGGAAAGTTCTAATAAATGTCATAGAAATCAAGCAGAACCTTCGAGGAGGAATTCTAGTGGACATGATAAGGAGGACTTATGTATCATACCAAGAGAGAGTGGGAAGATAAGAGAGTTCGATGTGATTCCAGGAAGTCCAATGGTCAGATCTAAGGAAGCCATTTCAAGGCCATAATGGGGAAGATACATTAGTAACCTTGGGAAGAGTATGAAGAGTGGAAGGACATGTAAGTTCCTAG